GGGGACCTTGAGAGAAATGGCAGATCCTTTTAAGAGTGTAGAAAATTGGCTTAGTTCCTGGAGTAATATTTTCTCTTTGTCCTTAGTCTCCCTAGGCTCAGAGCTTCATTCGAAGGCATGCTCCCTATGGAATGGAGAGTCCTGTCTGCCTCTGGCATCAAACAGGAAGTCCGGCTCTGCTCCAAGTCTCACTCACGTTTAGAACTCCTTGTCCCAACAGAGGCCAAGCTCCCAGTCATTGCTGCCTATTTACAGAGCCCAGACAACAATGAGTTATGCTTTCCTTCTGTGTCTGGTCCACAGAGATGTTTATCTTGTAGCAGTGTATGGTTGGGCCTCCGTGGTTTTCTTTTTCCTTTCTTCATTTCTTATATTTTCTCTCTCTTTTTTTCCCTTTGTTATAGGACAGGGAGAGGGGCAGCCCAAACCCCGCAAACCTGCCTATTCTAAATGGGTTCTGCCATCCGCCGCATCAACACAAAACATAGGAGACTTTAATGGGAAGGAACTTTAATAGAATGGGGACCACCCTGTTACACCTTCCCTTCCACCCCCTCTTTTCCTTTCTTCCTCCCTTTCTTCCTTCCTTCCTCTCTCATTCTCTCTCTTTCTGCCTTTGTAAGTATTTCATCTGCATTGCTCTGCGTTTAGAGCAGAAAGTTAAACTCATTGTCTTTGGGTCATTATGATGGAGGACAAGAATAGAAAAAAAAAAACTGAAAAGGAGGCGCCACAAGACCAGAAACCTGGCACACAAGGAGGTGGGGGTAGAAGAGATTAGTATAGCAGCTATGGAAACCAAGATCCTCAGGTGTAGACCACACAGTTGCAGAAAGGAAACTAGTATCCTTAGGTGCAGGCTAGTATCCCTAGGCGCGGATGCCTGGATTACAAAGCATAACATCCAAGCAGGTATCCGAGGTGCATCCAAAGGTAAAGATATGGAGATTGAACCCATTGTAGAATCTCCAGTGCTTTTCAGATTCTGCATAGTTATCCATATCAGGAATTAACTGAAGGCTCATGACCCCTCCCAAACAGAAGAAGACTGTGTCAGTACAGTCCCTGCACAAGCTGGGGCAGCACTCCCTCTGCCCACCTGTGACCATGCAAGCGCCTCTTTCCACCAGCTCTCTCCCTCTGCAGGGCAGCAGCTTCCTGCCTGCCCGTGACCTGTCAAGGCCACCCGCCTGCAACCATGCAGGCCTCGCTCAGCAAACCTGTCCCTTCTGGGGCAGCTCTTCCTGCCCATGTGTGTGTCTATGCAAGTGTCTCACTGTGTTATCCCTTCCCTAATAAACCTGCCCTTTATATATAACTAACGTCTCTGTCTCATGGAGAAACTCGCCTGGGAAACTTGTCGCGTGTCGCTGAAATAGGAGCTCTGGTGACACCTTTCCCAGAATGAACCCAAGGACCCCGCATTCCAAACCCACAGACTCCAAAAAAAAAAAATTACAAGAATTATTCTGAATGAATGCTCTTGAAAATGGTAAATAAATGACATTTGTTCCAATCCCATATCTTTGGCATAAGGATGTGCTACCATGATTATTTATAATTATTCCTCCACTTGACAGTCTGAGCATTTATGTCTTCTATTAATATTTGTAGTTTGTTATACAAGTTGGTGCTCATTGTTTTGTGCATGTCCTGTTCTCCCAGATAACCTGTTAACAGCTTAAAAGCGGAGACCGTGACTTGTCCCTAATGTATTCCTCAAATGACATTCTCCTATAGCCACACACAGAACGCTCAATCAATTATCAGATTGATGTACTCGACACATCTCAAATTTCCTTAATTCCTCCATCAAATGCACTATGCTGCTTAATAAAAATAGTTATATATACAGAGGTAATGCACAAACACAAATTAAGCCATTTTATACAATGTACAAATATGTACATATTTGACATTTTCAGCATTTTTTTTGTTTTCTTGCTACAAGCTTTGAAAATTAGTGCCTACTGACCTTTCAACTTGGAAAATATTTTAAGTTGCTTACAATCCTTTTCCCAGTGATATGGAGAGTGAGAAATCCCCAGAAAAGGCCTCCAGCCTTGCCCATCAGGAAGTCAGCTACCTGTGACCAGGGAGCCAAGTACATTCTTTCTCAGAGCAGGTGTTAGCCTACCCCAGTTCAGTAAGTGCCTTCAGGGCCTCTACTTTGGGGAGATAAAGCAGCAGCCTGTGTGGGGTCCCTTCCCCTCCCCCACAGATCCATTTGTTACTGGGGATACACCCCCTCCAGGAATCTTTCAATGCTTTTCAAACCATGGGCATGCACAATGCACCTGACGTTGTTCAAAGACAGGGTCTGCATTGCCTCAGGCTAAGAATGAAGAAACACAGAAAATTACATCTCTTTCCAGGCTTTTTTACTCCATTACAAGGAAAGGCTTCTGTGTTTTCGACCAAAAACACTTATTAGTTCTCCTTTTTTTTTTCTTTTCACTCCAGTAAATTAACTAATGTGCACCAGCAGTTGTTAATGATTCAGCAATAAGGAGCTTCCTTTTGATAAGATGCAGCCAGTGGGAAAAGATGCAAAACTTTGTGTCCTCTGTGCCTTAGATCATTTATTTACCTCTGAGAAAAATGTTCTTTGTGGTCCCCTTGTTGAATCAGGACTGGACTTTGTGCAAAGCATGTTTCTTCCTGTAGAAGGGCTCTTTGGAGAGCATTTACTCAGAGGAACAAATGTCTGCAAAGTGTGCTTACTGAGGTGGGGGTGGCTGCTTACAAGGTGTGACATCTGCAGAAGAAACACAGACAAGCACCTTAGCCACCCAGTCCTTCCCAGCACAGGGTTCACTCACAAAACAAAGTAGAAATCTGGCTCCTGCTCAGAAGGTTGTTTACTCAGAACTCTACCTCTTGACGGTATTTGCATTTTAATTATAAAATGGGGTAAGGGAAATGTGAAGTCAGTGTGAGGTCACCACTGCCCCCCTCCTCTCCGCGCGCCCCCCCAACATGTGCAATGCCTGGCACAGAGAGGCACAGGCTATAATTAAAGAAATCTATAAGACATGTGTGTCCATATAACTTTGTGAGAAAATGAGGGATATTCATCAATAACAATTTGCTTGGTGACTGGAAGATTATCCTTTTACAAGGTTTTCTTTCAAGTTTCAGCTTAAAGACAAACTGGAAAGTCACCATATTTCTAAATTCCTGTAAAATGGATTTAAAACTGATTGGCAGATATAACACACATGCACGAGTTAGGAGTGGAACACTGGGAAGTGCTTTTGTGGCTTTTTCAAGTGAGTTCAAAAGGTGAAATATGTAAACGTGAGTGAGATCAGTCTTAGAAATAAGTGCTGTTGACTGTTGACTATATTTGCTGGAAGATTTAGTTTTAAAGATTAAAACTCGAGAGGCAGGGGACCAGCACTGCTTGACTTGGCAGAACATGTTGGGGGAAGAGGATGCCCTGAAGGAACATCACAAATTCGTATTTTATGGACCCCACGCCCACCCTAGGCCAAAGAGATGCAAGGCACCAAGGTCTGCAAATCGCATAATGTTGTCACCACTTAAGGGAGGATTGCTGGGAACTGAGGGTGGAGTTAAGCAGCCAGGCTTGGTATATAACAAGACAAGTGGGCTTTGGGGGTGACTGGATTTTTGTAGGTCTTCAGTATGCTTTTGGGGTCCCAGCTCAGGGGATCTGGTAGGATGCATTCATCAGTATTTTCATCATATATTTTTCTCTTTCTCCCCAGGTTATTCCTCTCCCCATTCCCCTTTGTGTAAATAAACCCTTTATTAACCTTTGCAATTGAGTCTCATTTTAAGTCCTTTTTAAGCACACGGGTGAGGACCCACACCCAGGTCAACCCATTTCATAGTGCGGTTGCCCTGAAACAAACCCATCACCTGATCTCCAGCCAGAGTGAGTGCTATGGGTTGAATTGTGCTCCCCCAAAATGTTGAAGACTGGACCCCTGCTACACCAGTATGGGACCTTATTTGGAAACAGTCTTTCAAATTAGTTACAACGAGGCCATACTGGGTTAGGGTCGGCCTTGATTCTATCAGTGACCAGGGTTCTGTGCTAATACAGAGGAGAGAGAAGATATAGGGAGATTGTCATGTGATAATGGAGGCAGAGATAGGAGTGACATCTCTAGTCACGGAGTGACAAGGCTCCCTAGCAACACCAGAGCTAGAAGAGAGGCATGGAGCTGCTTCTCTCTCCAGAAGTGCTCTGATTCTTGATTTCCACTCTTCAGAACAGGTTCTGTTGATTAGTTTTAAAGATTAAAACTGTTGATTGAAGTCACCCAATAAGTGGGAGCCCTAGGGAACTAGTACTGGGCTGGGGAAACTTGTCTACTAGACTTCTGCTATCTGAACAGGGAAAAGAGGTTGAGGTTTCATCTTCAGAATATAGACTTTTCTCAGGCCTCTCCTGGTGGTGCAGTAGTTGAGCGCTGGGTTGCAAGGCTGCCTGCAGCCTCTGCAGCGCCAGTTCGATCCCTGGCCAACGGCAAGGGTCCACAAAAAAAAAAAAAAAAAAAAAAAAGAATATAGACTTTTCTCATAATCTGTTGTTTTCAGCACAGCAGTCTTAGCTTTCACTTGTAGCTCTTCAAAGAAGTGAGGAGATGAGTACCAGGGGAGGGATGTTTATAATATGTAAGTTTAGGAGGAAACAGTACAGGTTTTCTAGGATCCAGCAGACCAGGTAAAGGAGGAGTCAGAGTCCTCAGTGGTTTTTTGCAGGTATTTTATTGGGGTTCACCAGGCATATGGCAGGCAGGAGTGCTGGGGTGCTGGTAGGCTGGCAGGCCTCCCAGCCCCCAGCAGGTCTTCTCTGGGCTCTCCGGCCTTCTCTCGGCTTCTTCTTTCGGCTTCTCCGCAGCTTCTCTTTTGGCTTCTGCTGCTTCTTTCTCGGCTTCTCTTTTGGCTTCTACTGGCGTCTCCGTGATGCCGCCCTTAAAAGCACAGTCTTAGCGCAGGTGTATCACTTCAGGTGCCCACCATCAGGCATGCATTCGGGATCACAGGGTTCCCTCATCTATCCTGATGGCGGGAGGGCAGAAAAGCCTGAAACTTTTTACTTTACCCTACATAATACTATTCTAAATTTGTATTATATCCAAATTTTTAAAATAAAAAGCTAAGTCAATAAAGATCTGTAGAGAAATGAAAAATCTTATACCTGTGTAACAAAAACCAGCTACCACAAAATCAGAAGACTTAAAAAGAGCTCTTGGAAATGAAAAATTGTTTAACAGAAATTTAAAATACGTTAAAAGGATCAGAGAATAAAGTTGAAGAAATTTCCCTGAAACTAAAACAGAGAGAGGTAGAAAAGAGAAGAAAAGGTATAAAAATTAGAAGATTTAGGAGGTCCAAGCTTAAAAGGCACATTGTAAGTTAAGTGAATTGGTCAGGCTTTCATGCTGCCAGCCTCTGTGGCTATCATCTGAGGCCTAGAATGCAGAAGGGGCCTGGGATCGTGGGCCCAGGGCATGCATGACTGATTGTGGACCCCTGAAGTATGATGTGGGCATGCATAGCACACCTGAGCCGGGAGGCTGAGGCTATAAGGGCTGCTGAATGGCTTAGAAAGGATGAGCCACTACAGAAAGGCAGAGAGGACCATGAGATAAGCCAGAGAGAGCCCAAAGAGAGAGTGAAGATTTGCAGGAGACTGGGAGGCCTGCCAGCTTCCTGCTCCTCCTCCCATCCCCCCTCCTCCCCTGGCCTCCCTGCCTTGCCAGCCTGCAGGCTTTCCCCTTAAATACTGGTATAGAAAGATCATTAATGCCTGAAAAAAGCCACCGAGGGCTCCAAAACTCTCTTTTACCCATCTGCCTGAATCAATAGAGAACCTGCCCTGTGCTTGCTGGCACAACACACATCATAAAAAAATAACTTAGAAAAAAAAAATAGGAAAGTTTCAAATCAATAAAATTCCCTCCAAATTGATGAACATGACTTTTCAGACTGACCTCTCAACACCACCATACCTACAACAAACCACAGCAGAATCAGTGAAAAAAGATTACTAATAAGGCACCACCGTGGTGGCTTTAAAACATGCTCTCAAAGTCAGTCACAAATTCTCCATCAAAAAGTGGAACCCAGTGACTTGCATTGAATCAGTAAATTTTGGGAAAAGGGATACTGCCTGACTTCTATAGCTCAATTATGAAAGGCATTATGTCACAGAGGGCTTCCACCTGGCTCTCTCCAGAAGCTCCCCTTAGGCAGCAGCTTCCATCCCATGAGGAAGTTAAGCAGCCCCTCAGCTGTAGGTGTTGGTACTTTAGACCCAGCTAAGGTCACAGAGGGTACAGGGCAGCCAGCAGCTGCTGAGTAGACATGCAAGGGAGCACACCTTCTGATGACTGCCCGCACCAGCTGCCCCAGCTAATGCCAAGAGGTACAGAGGCAAGCTGTCACTGCTTTGTCCTGCTCTGTTTTCAATGTGTTTTTGCACAGAGTGCAAGCAAAAATGTGAAAAGAACAGGAGGTACCATTGAAAGGGGTTTCATTTGCTTAGAAAAACAGAATGAATGATCTCATAGAAAGATCTGGGGTATCTGCTACTTTGCTTTAGTGGCCTCTACATCTAATCGTGGGGTCCTGCATGGCGACTTATTTAAAGAGCTTTTAAAGACAAATCTGTCTCTTTGTCCAATTTGCCATTTGGACATTTTCTAGGAATTGATGCTTTAATTTCTGGATTTTTATAGGCTTTATCATGGTTTTTTTCATCCATCTGGCACTTCAGTATTTTTTTACTATCTCCTTAGAATGCAAATTATTATCATTCAAGGTTTCTTCTTTAAGGTCTTTACTTCTTAAGGTTTTTATTTGAATTTATAAAAATAATTTAATTCTCTGCCTCATAGATTTAGGTAAACATGATCTAAACCCTAGTTCTGAGGATGTGCTAATTCTGAGAAAATTCACCTTAGTGAGCTCTGCTGACTTTCTGGATGAATGATTGAGGAAGCCAACTGCAACCTGTAGGATATTTATTAATTAAGCTTTCTGTTATAAAACTTCCTACACAGTGAACTTGCAATAATATGATACATTTTCTCTTTAATTTTCTTTTCCCACCATGTACTTATCACCATGTACTTATCAGTTCTCTGAAGAACTAAGAGTAAGTGAAAACAAAGACTGGCATACTGAAAGCAAGTGGCTAAGTGAAAATATTTAATTCTTAGAAATGAAAAATAAGTTAAAACAGAGGACTGTGGCACCACACTTGTCCCTGTTACTCACAGGACTGCTGTGACTTCTTCCCCTAAGAAATACCACAAAAATTATCAAAAAGTCATAAACAAGAGGGAAAGTGGGCAACACAAGCTTTCAGTGCCATCCAGGGGCAAGATCACCCCAAGACTGTCCAGGAGAATGTACTTAATTACACAGTATTTATTACTGGTTAAATATCCCATGTCAACTTGTGGCTTTTTTCTGCTAGAAATGAGAACAATTTCTGTCCATTGGAAAACATAACCCCTAATTTCATGGTTTATGAACCAGTTTTGTACCAATCTTATGCTAATGTTTTTACTAAATTGCATGCACACATGTGTGTGCACAAACACACACATGCTCCCACTTCTCAGATCCTCTTCGGGTTACTTTTATATCTTATTTCTCCCTTATTAACTAGTGAGTTGAATAAGATCATTAGCACATTTGTCTTATATTTTCAAGAGATTCATGTTTTTTGAACTCTTTGAGAATACCTGCAATGACTGAGCAAATGAGCTACCAAGATTCCCAAGTTTCTTGGGTACAACAAGGATTTTGTGAACTGAACATCTTTCTCCTAAGGGTTTTCACAAAAAGAGTGGTAATAAAAACAGGACAAAGAAGTCACTCACAGAGTCACTGTCATTTAAAAGGTTAAATCTTCCATATATAGAACCAGGAGTTCATTAAGTAAAATTTCCAACTTCCCATACTAACTCACTTGTGAGCTAGCTGATTCTTCAATTTTGTACACAACAAAGTTTTGTGATTTTTTTCCTGGGGTTATGGGTTATATAGTGGCCTTATCCATAACTTCACCCACACTCACATATTCCAGGGATTCTTTGGTCATCTCTTAGGCCTGCTTGTTACTCTCCAACACATGCAAAAGTCTCACATAGAAACTTTCATGAGGGGGTGGGAATACCTCCTAAATAATGGGATCTAGTCCCTTCACTTCTATAGCCTCTTCCATAGAAGTAGCAATAGCTCCTAGAAGAGCCTACCTAAAAATCTGTCAAATAACTTTCCATTACATACAGCCTTATGAAGCATCATGGAATTAAGGTAGAAGATTTAAGACAGAGAAAGGAATGAGGTCAGCCACTAAGACTGAGGGCAAAAGAATGGCTGGCATAAGAATCAAGGACATGGCCAGAGAAGGCACTCTACCTCCAATTAGGAGTTTTGGGCCTTTGATGAGAATTTCCCAGTCCCCAGGGCCACCTGTGTATCCCCAATGCCACACCAACACCCAGGTCTGCAGTGGGGCCCATCTTCCCCACACATAACACAGGGAGTCTTCAGCATCTCCTTCAGGGAAGAGACACATATTTAGCATATTCCACAGGAGAGTCTTTATATGGAGATTTTATGTAGCTTCTCTATTTTCTTCCTTTTAAATTTTTAAATTAACATAGGTAAAGGGATTATCAGCAAAGAGAATCTTGCTTGCATATTTTCTTCATATTTTCCAAATATAAAAAAAAGATGATGTCAGCTGCAGGACAGAGGTCTTCCTTTCAAATGATTAAAATAAGCTGTTAACTTGAAGAGAACACATTTCACATTTATTTACTTGGGTCTTTGTAGATACCATCTCTTTAGGATGATTCAGCTCATTCTCCTAAACTACCATTAGGTAGGTTGAAAATGCTGTTTATAGGTTGGAAATGTGGTTTATAAAATTAGCCACAGTTAACAACTCTAGCATGTTAATTACTGAATGAGTCTGTTCTTAATTTGTAGCTGGGAACTCCAGTTGTTGGCTCTGAGCTTTCAGAGCTCCCACCTTTGCTTCAGGACTCCCCATGATTGTTGCTTTAGGAGAATGGCAATTGCCAATCCCACCACCAAAACACACACATACACACAGAGACACGCACACGGTCTCTTTCCCAGGAGCTATGGTGAAACACTCTATCAGCAACCCTCTCAGATTAATGTTCTAGCCCCACTATTATAAACTATTCTTGCTTACATGTGTTAAGAATAACACATAAATGCATGTTTAGGTGCTTTGATTCTAAAGCACTTCTCATATCTTTTGTCTTATTCAATCATTACAACTACCCTGCCAAGTAGTCACTGTTATTAATACCATTTTATAGAAAAAGAAATTGGGGCCTCCCTGGTGGCGCAAGGGCTTAAGCACCGCACTATGAAGCAATTTGCAGCCTCTACAGCAGGAGTTCAATCACTGGCTGGCCAGGGAGCAACCCACATGGTGCAGCAGACCTCTCCTGACTCGCCCGCTGCTCCCCTCAGCAGTGTACTTCAGTCAGTCTGCCTGCTCTGTTCCCCACTCTGTCTCTGGTGAATCCTCTCACCCACCACTTGTACCCCAGTTCTTGTATGCATAAATGAATAAATCTTAAAAAAAAAAACAAAAAGAAATTAAAGTTCAGAGAAGCTGAATTACTTGCAAAAGTTCAAGGTGGGAGAGTTGGAGGCTTGCACTAAGACTTTCTCTTCTGGCAGTGCTGACCTCTGTTCCTCAACCACACTAAACAGAATCACTCCAGGTTAGCCTTTGAGAAGGTCCTGTTACTTTTATCTCTTGGCCTGAGCCACTGCTGTCCCTTTTGGGTCTAATCCACTCTTACCATTTATTATATTGCTGTGTTCCCAAAGAAGTGTTTAGCTGTTTCTGTCTTGTAGCTCAGATCTACTCCATCTATTTTAGCCATTGTCCTTTAGCTAATCTGAACCTTTTTTTCCTGTTAGAATTAATTGTTTACAAAGTAATTTTAAAAGTAGCACATTAATTATCAGGACTTGATCACTTGATAAGTAATTTAACTTCTCCTAACTTTACCTATTTTTATTTATTATTTTACTATTGACACATATTATTATTTATTATTCTTATTTTACTCAGCTGCTATAATCTTTTGCTATTATTATTTATTTTAGTGTTCACATTGTCCCAGATTTGGCTAGCAGCAGCTCCTTAAAGCTGACTCCTCTGTCCTTTGACAATTCCCCATAATTATTTGAGCATTTCTCTCACAATAGGCTATTGCAGGGTTATCTTGTATTTTTTTTTTTCATGCTCCAGCTCAGGAATCAGCCATTTCTCTAAAAAGCCTTGGGTGCCTTTGTGTAGAGTGGAATTTAGAAACCCAATCTGGGGCTGGATATGCTCATTTTACTGGAGTGTGATTGTTTCTAGATCTCGGTAAACAGAGCTAGGGAGAAGTCTATCTACATTTCTATGTTCACTTGCATCTATGTATAGAAAAAATAGAAACACACATACATACACCATTTTTATATTGAAATTGAAAAATGAGTTCATATAAACATTTTGATTCTATTAGTTACCTCAGAAACCATTTTATTCTTCCCAGTTTCCAAATTAGTAATTCCTATGCTCAAGAATGAGAAACCTGGCAAATAAATGACTACTTTGTGGTTAATGTTTCCTTTCCCTCAGGGATCACTGTCCTTTGCTGTCTGATGCAAGATGATGAGCATCTTGCAAATCATTGTTTCATTCAGATATTGTCCATTTTTGTTGTATCTTGTGGGAGGGTAAATTTGGTTCCTGTTATTCTGTGTTAGCTGGAAAAAGAGGACTACTAATGCTTTTTTGATGAAATTTTTAATGTCTTGTCATGAATACCTTCTGCACAGGCCTATATGATATAGCAAATTTGATGCTTAATCTCTCAAGCATACCTTCTGAGACCTTCCCATGTTAACATTGTCGCATTTCATATTTCTTCGTCAGATTATTTTACCAATGACTTTGTCCCTCACTAGACTGAAAGATCAATAATATGTGGCATCAGTATGTTTTTGTTTTGTTCATCATTGTCTTTCTAGCTTCTGGTATGTACTTTTTGTTTAATAGCCATTCGTTAGCTATTATTCATTTAGTAAAAGAATAAATTTAATCTGTCAGCAATTTTTTTAACACAATTTTCCCTGGGGAACTTTAACACTTTCAGATTTGGTTATTTTACTTTCACAGCATCAATCCTATGACCCAATCTATCATTCATGAAAAATGTTGGTATAGGGGCATTTTTATATTAGACATGCAAGAGTTTGTTTTATGCCTCTTGACCAAAAAGGAAGGACTGCCTGCTTGCCTCCTGGTATCTTGCCCCATTATGTGTAAAATTCAAGGACCTCTGAAGGCCAGACAGTCAGGCCCTGCACAGAGGGCACTGAATGGAGATGTGTTGCTGGAGAACTGTATGATCTTATAGTACCGCATGATCTTAGATTATTGGAAGTAATCTCTCATTGGGGAAAAGAGAAACAGAGTCGTGCCAATGTCCTTTGTGTGTAGTTCAGCTTAAGGGTTGCTCATTGTTGACTCTTCAAAAGAGCAACAGAAAAACCTATGTATTAAGCAAAGCTAATCTTTAATGTAATAATGGACAGTATTTCCTGGGGAGACTCTTAGTCTTAGACTCAAAATTGGAAACTTAGGGAAGAGTATGAGAGACTGAACATACAATTGGACAATAGCCAGACCATATCTCCCCAACCCCTGCAGCAACCAGCCAGGAAGCCAAATCACAATCTCTGCAGCAATTAGCCTCAAATCATCAAGACTCAGTCAGTGACTACAAGCTCGCCTGACTTGGGGGAGCGCGTGTGCATGTGTGCGCTCGCGCACACACATGCTCACACACTCACATATTCATACAACCACCCAACCAACCAGGACCAAATAAAGAAAGCAAAATATGCTTCTCAAACTAATTTCATAGGAGGCCCCGCTTCTACTTAGCCCACCTGTGACATTTCTGTGATGCCATCTAAATTTCAGCATCTAGAAAGCCTGCTTTTATTTTTTTAAATCTAAAGCTTTCCCACTCCTTACTTGCCAAATGCAAGTGATGGTGGTTGACTCTCTTGCCATAGCAGGCTCCAAATAAATAGCCTTGTTCTCATTTGGGTTCCCTTCATTTATTTCCACAGGTATTTATGAAGTTTTTAAGAGTCTGGGCTGGGATTTCAAGGCAAGTCTTGAAAAGCAGGGACTGGTTGGAATGGGCCAAGTTTATGACATAATAGTTTTGGAAGGCACAGTAAGGTGAGCGTCTCGAAGTACTCAGTTGAAGTAGTAAACCTTGAAATGCAAGCAGTTTAATAAGCTCATGGTCTTATTTTTCCAAGAGCAAGTAATCCCTGGAGCCAAGAGCTAGGCCACTCCTGTTTGGTGTCAGTAATATTTAACATAGGGAGAGAATAGTGCACCTGGTCCTAGAAACAGTTAACATTTAGGACAGGGCATTATGTTGGTTTAAATTTCTGGGATTCAGAAGAAAAACTTCATTGTAATGTCCATGCTTGATCTTTTCTTCGTTCAACCTAGATAACACAGTCACTTGAATAATGCCCTCAAGAGCATAAACAATATCCATCCTTCACTACTGCTGTGCTAACCCAGAGCACTAAAACTGGCTTAATCCTACAGTTTGTGATATTGTTTTTCATCTTTTATTCTAAATATCTGTAGGTGGTAGCTATAAGGAGCAGTGAACTCAGAGAGGGCTGAGACCAAGTGGAGGATCAGAAGGAACAAGCACATAACTGTTCACAATGTCTGCTATGGGGACCAGCGGAGAATGGTGAGACTTTAAACTTTACACTTAGGTCTCAAAAATGTATCTTTTGAGTTTTGGATGTACATATCCAACTTCCCACAGAGCAACCTTATCTGGATGTCCTACAAGCCCTCAATCTGCACATCAAATATTGAAATCTTCCCCAAAGATTTGCTATTCTATCCATCATACTGGCCTCATGATCCTGGTCAGCACTGTTTTCCAGGCAGGGGTTACCATGGTTCAGATTAACACTCAATCTAAGATAAATCTCTTTGCCATCCAGCTAAGAAAATTGCTCAAATTGTGGAACTCGGGGCCTGAACAATGAAGGAAAGGAAAGTTGATAGTATGATGAAAACTTAAATCTCTTGAAATCTTACCTGTCCTGAGTACAGAAGTAATATCAGAGGACAAAATTTGGCCAGCACTTGATCATTTCAGGTATGGTGACAGAAACTAGGAAAAACAAAGGTTATGAAAATTTCAGACTTTTTAGGTTTCATTTTTTTAACATTCAATTTAGCATAACATATGTATACCTATATATATATATATCTGGTCATCTCTCTCTTAGCTTTGTCTCCTTAATTCCAGTATTTTCAATTTTTTTAATGATCGTTAGGAGACAACCTTAATTATGTGAAAAACTACAGGATTGATTCCATGATGGATGGTATCTGAATTTATGCACATACACACAAATAATATTTCCTGATGGAAACAAGATACAAAACTGATTGATGTCTTAAAGCAATGGAGGGGTCTCTGCTGGCAGCCAGGATTACTCCTACCTAGTAGGAAACTGATAGAGAAAATTCAGTTCATATAATAAATTCCATAACAGCAGCTTAGCTGTGAATGATTTTTTAAAAGTCACTTGTCTGTGCAAACTGGCTAGAGCAGAAATATTTTAATGATATTTCAAGAGCTTAATGTCAACCATCAGTGTCCAATAAATGAAAATTACTTTTAGTGATACATCTTGAAATATGATGTTTTTTTTGAACCAAACTATCTCAAGCTTTGCATAAAATCTGGACTTTTATTTTTACTGTGTGCTTGTTATGTAAACATCTGATATTTGTTGTGGAGGAAAAGAAGATAAATTAGACACTACTTGGAATATTGAAAAACAAGTAAATGTTAAGGTATATTAAATTTACTGTTTGCTCATCAAGAGACAGAAAGCAAGCAAATAATTTATTTAAGTGATATAATTTTATTTAAAGAAAGGAAATATTTTAATAAGCCAAAAGGAGAAAGGGAATATACTTTAATATAGGTAGCATCACTGGAATAAAAATGTAATGTACCAAAGTAGCTACTTTGAAGAGAAAAACACTCTTCTGAATGGAAAATTTGTTGCATTCCTGTGAAATCCCAACTTGGTCTTCTTTCTTACCTGTTTATACATTTCACTAATATTTATTGAGTAACTACTTCTGTAATGGCATTTTGTAAGGCACTGGTGATATTTAGTGATTAAGATAGACATAGATTCTTTTTTTCATGAAGATTAAATTTAGTGGAATTTTCATTAATTAATTCATGTACTCATTATATTATGGAAAATGAAGTTTAGTTCTGTGACAGGAAACTTAAGATAATAAAAGTTTAAACAACTGGCTATTTCAAATATATATCATCCAGACCTCAACTTGTGACTCCATCATTATGAAAAACCTCAAGTTCTTTTATCTTGCAGCTCTGCCATTTATAACCAGTGAATGTATGTAGCTTTTGAGACTTTCTTTCATTATTATTTGTATCTACTGTCTGTTCCCTCTTTACTATTGGGTAGTACTCCATTCTATGAATGTACCACAGTTTATTCTCCAAATGAGAGTCTTTTGGAGTTTCAGGATTTTAGTGATGAGAAGGCTATAAATATTTAATGAGTTTTTGTGGACACAGACCTTTCATTTTACTTGGGCAAATGTTCAGGCATGGGAATGTTGCTTATATAGTTAAGTGTATATTCGACTTTATAAAAGCTGTGAAACTATTTTTAGAGAGGTGGGACCATTTTGCATTCTCACCAGCAAGGTCTGACAGTTCCAGCAGCTCTGTGTCCTCATCAACATATAGTATTGTCATTTTTTAAAAAAGCCATCTATTAAGTGGATAGTAGTATCTCATTGTGGTTTTAGTTAGTATTTCACTAATGACTGATATTAAGCATCTTTTCATGTGCTCTTTGTCATCTATATATCTCCTTTGGTAAAATGCCTGTTCAAATCTTTTTCCCATTAAAAAAAAAAATGGGTTGTTCCGATGGAGTACTACTCAGTCATTCAAACAGATGAACTCTTGCCATTTGCAACAACATGGATGGAACTTTATGCTAAGTAAAGTAAGTCAGAAGGAGAAAGACAAACACTGTATGATTTCACCCATTTGTGGATGATAAAGAAAACAAAAGGTAACTGTTAGACTGACAATAAAATGGTGGTTACCAGGGGGGAAGGAGTGAGGGAAAGAATAGGTGGAAGATGCTGATTGGTTGGTAGTGGACTGTGAATGGACATTTGGTGGCAGGTGTGGTGAGAAGATGTAACCTTGGAATCTATACAGTATTGTAGAATAATGTTACCTCAATTTAAAAAATTTCATTGTTTTCTTATTGTTGAGTTTTCAGAGTTCCTTATATATATTGACTATAAGTCCTATGTCAAATATATGATTTACAAATATTTTCCCAGTCTATGTTTGTCTTTTCTCTCTCTCAATATTGTTTGCAGAGCAAATGTTTATAATTTTGATAAAGTCCAATTTATTAATCATTTGTGATTGTGCTTTGTATCTTAAAATTGGATTTTTAAATGTTAATAGCCAAATTTACAAAAAACAAAAGAATAAAGTTCTCCTAACAATAATAGATTATCTACAAGTGGCACATTAGCAATAGCTCCTAAATGTGACACAAAAAAAGAAAAAAATAGCTAATTTATGTTGGGAGAATCAAATTAGAGTTATGAAAGATAAGACTATGATCCAATAATATTAATTTCAATAACATATACTGAAGTCTTTTAGTTTTTGCACAAAAATAGCATGTAAGTACATGAAATAAAATGCTTCCTGGGAGTTTCAAATACCTATTCATATATTCACTCATTTGCTTATTTTGAAATTTTTACTGAGTACCTACTAGGAGCCAGGTGCTGAGTTTTAGATGTGGGTACAGAAATGAACATGATATGAGTCAGAACTTTGGACAAATAAATCAACAGATTAAAACACAATGTGGTGAGAACTATGGTTGGCATATTTTCAAAGTAAACCATGTTTCTTTTTTGCACATGTAGTGGCTTCATCACACTTATCTCAGTTTGCAGTTATTTATTTGTGTGACTTGATTTAATGTTTGTCTCTCTCGTGATGTGCTCCAGGAGTATAAATCTGATATATATTCTCTTAATTGTGGCTGGCACATAATAGGAGCTGGATTAACAGTTGTTGAGTAAATATAGAGCTTGCTATAGAAGTACAAAGAGGAGGAGTTGCTAATTCTGCCCCTGGCAGGTTTGAAGACTTCATTAAAAAGGTGACATTTGAAGTAAGTCTTGAAACTGAGGAAGGAACTTGCTATTGGGGGTGGGGTGGCACTGGGGAGAAAGAGCATTCCAGCAGCACTGCACAGTCTGAGCCATGGACATGTGAAGTCACATAACATATGTGGGCAGGACAAAACATAAAACATAAAACATGCGGGCAGGCTCATCCTGTGTAAGGAAGGGTGGGGACAGGGGATGAGGTCAACATGGAATGCTACGATCAGGCTAGGAAGGAAAGATCTTGGCTATGGTTTGAACTGTATAGCAATGGAGTTGGGGGGAACTGAAGGATATCAAGCTTGAAGTAATATGATCACCTTTGTCATTCTTTAAAAAAATAAATTATTATTGATGTATCATTGGTTTATAACATTATGTAAGATGTATTGCAGTATTATTTGGCATCTGCATACATTACACCATGATCACCACCTAAGTTAGTTTCCACCCATCAAAATTGCACCTTTGCAATCCTTCAAGAGAGATGAGAGTGTGGCTGTTGGCTGGGCCGTGGAGTGAAGTAAACCCTGCTGCTGGAGACTTTGTAAGAGATGACAAGGGTGTAATAGAGGCAGAAGAGATGTTGAAGAAAGCCAGATCTGAAAGCTATTCTAGGAGACAGAATTTATGGGACTTGGTGATTGATAAGATACAAAGGGTAAAGTAGGAGAATTTAAAATTTTAGCTCTTTTGATGTATGTTGGAGTTAGCATTTAATCCCCCCCCCAATTAATATGTAGTGCATGTTCTCTAGAAAATATGCTAAAAAGAAGAAAAAAAATCATCTGTTATCCAGGACACAGAAATAACCACTGCAACATTAGAAGTGAATAGCGATTCTTTTAAAATACATTTTGAAAAGAGATCCTAAGAATTTGATCTCCACCAGGCACTGGGATCCTCATGAACTAGTTGCACTGGTATCGTGAACTTCATTTTGAACCAAATTTTAAGTTTTGACTAAATTATGAGCTAAGCCAATTAGAGAATAAACCACACATATGGATAGAAAAAAGAAGAAGGATTTCCCCTCACCCCCACCTAAATAAATGGCAGTGATGACGCCCAGAACATGCTCTCATTAGTACCTGATTCCAGCTGGCAGATGTAGCCTGCCCAGGTTACAGGTTGGGTTTGATTAATTCATGTTCGGTTCATTCGGACGTGCTGAGCCCTGCAGGAAGACAGCCACGCACACTGATTCCCTCCCGTGTTCTAAAGGAGTGCTAATTATTTTTTGCCCACTTGAACCTTGAGCTTGTGTAAACCCGTGCACATAAACTAAATAACAAAAACTTTCTGTTAATCAAAAATAAGTTATTTGAGGACCTTCCAAACAGAAGGGGGGAGGGAAATTTTAAAGTGGGAGTGAGAAGAGGATATTTTTACGTTGCGAAGGAGTAAATTATGGGGAAGAGTAAAGGCAGGAAGATTCCGAGGAGCACTGTCCCTAAAGAAGCTCTAAGAATGGTCAACCCAAGGTGGAGAGCGAGGCTTGCCAAGGGCAAGACAATTGCGGCGACGGGAGCTGCTGCTCCCCGGAGCCGAGACCTGCGGGTCAGTCATTCTGCTCAAGTAGTGAGGACGGTCGCCAGACCCCCGGCTCCCTCCCAGGCGATTCCTTGCGTGTACACCCTCCAGCAAACCTGCAGGGGAACTTACCCCACACCGCTCGCTCGAGATACTCAGAGCGGGAGCAGGGTGGGCGGTGAACCGGTTCCACACTGAGGTTCCGGATTGGTAGTGAAAAATCCAACAAAGTCCAACGTGATTTACTACAAGCAAGAAAAAAAAAAATATATATATATATATATCAGTATCTCCTGCAAGGTTGGTGGCGGTGGCTTTGCTTCAGGGAAGGATATGACAGAGGGTGGGTGAACTCTGACCTGGGCTTTCCCACCAAGCCCCCCCTCCCCCCCCACTCCCACTTTCTCATTGAAGACCTGCCTTTTCCTCGGCCGTTGGCCCCGCAGTCTGAGTCTATTGCCAACAGCAAGTGGTCTAGGTCTACCCTGGATCCGGAGGTGTATTTGCCTTTTAAGTTCCGGTTTTCAGGAGCAGCGGGGTTCGCGAGGCTTTGGGGGTGGCAGGGACTTAGATTTGTCTGGGACCATTTCACACCGTCAGGCTTTCCACCGCTCAGTGGCTAAGCCACACGGAGGCGAGCGGCGCAGGGGGTGGCTCGCAGGAAGGGATCCGTGCAACCTGAGCAAACACTGCACGTTTTGAAACCTTGCTGGGAACCCGATTCAAGGGCAGGTCTCAAATCCTCCCGCTTCTGCCTGCCGGTCGCAGAGCGGAATCAGGGGCCCACCTGCGCGGGGCCATCTGTTCCGACGGGTCAGAGTTTGCAGACTCGGCGCTCAGGCAGACTCCCGGAGTTGGGGTCGTGCGCGCCGGGCCAATGAGAGGACCCAGAGGAGGGTTCGGCTCCCTCTCCCCCTCCCAGCCCTGCAAGCGCTGATTGGTCCCGCGGCCAGGGCGACCAGGCCGGCCGGCAGGGCTGTAGGCGGCGGCGAGTGCCCGGCGCGAGTGGGAGTGGCGCGCGCGCCCCCCGCCACCCCCCGCCCCTTCCCGCCGCGCTCCCTCCCTTTTCCCTTACTCCTCCCTCTCTCGCTCCCTCTCTCGCATTCCCCGGCTCCAGCCGCGCGCTGGCGGGGCTCCGCATTGCACACTCTGGGGGCGCCGCAGTGTTCGTGGGATGGGGCAGCGGGCTGCCGCTGGCGGCCGGAATCCGCGCGCAGCCGGGGTGAGTAGAGGCGGACTTCCCCGGAGAGCACAAAAGGAGATGGGGTTGGTGCCAGAGGCCGGAGCTAATGCGAGGCCTGGGCCAAGCGGGGAGTAGGCAGAGTCCCTGGGAACTACCCAGTGGTGGGACGGATGCCCTTTGGCCAGCGGAGCTGGAAACCTCACCTCTGCATCCCACGCAGGGATTTAGCCCCGAGTGGGCATCCGGCGCCACGCGCGGCCAGGGTAGTCCGGAGGGGCGTGTGTTTGCGTGTGTGTCTTGTTGGCGCGTGGAGGGTGAGGTGGAGATGTCTGGAGCTGCCAAGTTCAACGCTGCGAGAATCTTTCCCGAGAGTAATCAGCACCTTCCCAAGGCCAGGCGTGCGTCCACCTGGAACTCCAGCCAGAGGGAGTTCCTGGGCCGCCAAGTGGCAGTGCCCCACATGTTGCTGCGGGGAGGGCAGAATGAAAGGGTGGGTTGGTGGAAGCGGTGGGCCGGCTGCAACCACCCAGAGCTACTGCCTAAGGTTCCTTGAAATGAGGCACCTCCTGTCCCAGCAGAATGAGCCAGGCACCCTGACCGGGCCTACAGGGCCAGGGGACCATCCACCCACAGAGCCTGGGCTTCTCCTGGGCTTGACTTGCCTCCCTATTTTTCTCTCTGGTAATAGCAGTTATGTTCATTCACTTTTGGCTAAAGAGTCTATTTTAAAGTTCTCCATCAGTCTATCTGACTTGCTCTGACCCCCCACCACTGGTCTCACCATCTCTGCGCGCACCCCAGGATCTACCCTACTCTTCCTGGCTCAGAACTTGGTGTTTAAACATGATTGTATCTGGCCTGGTCCCTGGCATCTTAAGTGTCACCAATCACTTGGCATTTCTTAGGAGACTCCAAGGACTTGTTATAAGGGGGGCGGGGGGTAAGTTAAGGGGGAGCAGCTCTTCGGTAGATATTTGTTAGTGGAGTAGCATTGACCTCCCAGAGTATATGACAAAAAGAATGTTAAACTTCTCCCTCTGGTAACCTACCCAAGGTGTGACCTCCAAAATTCAATTTTCTTTGTGGGAGGCTAGGGAGTTTAGATTCTCCAGGGGGAAGCTTATTTCTTGTTAAAATGACTTATGGTGACATACACTTTGTTCTGCTCTGCTCTGGCCAGCCATTGCAGATGCCATGATATTATTAGAGCAATTCCCTTAAAGCCATTACATTTTCTTTAGAGTGAGAGGAACTCGAGGTAGCTGCTTAAAATTTTGGATCTGTACCTTATTTCTCTAGAAGACAGTAATGGTTACTGTATATGTGCTCACGTGTACCAAGTTTGCAAAAGGTATTTGTGCAATCGTCCATGAAATGGCTTAATGCACATTTATGTTAAACCCATTTAAATGTAAAACATCTATCTGTTTTCAATTTTAGTTTCCACCTTGACCAAAGGCACCGACTGAAACAGGACTTAAAAAAGACTTACTTGTTTAAACAGAGGTTTTACAGAACTCTAGCTCTGAGAGCACACAGTAAGCTTTCTGGAGTTGCAGGCACACAAAGGCTGTTAAAAATTGTGAATTTGGTTCTTTGGGTTAAAAATATCTGACAAAAAAAGGTAAATAGGATTCATCAGCTTCATTTTGAAGTTGTTGACAGTCTTTGTAAGATGAATATTTATAGCACAGAATGCATAAATGGATCTGATTATAGCAAACAATGCCAAGTGAAAAACATACAGTGCATCATGCTTTACAATTTACATGGCATATTGAGGCCTACTATGAAAGTGTCTGGAGGAAGTCACGTTTTTATCACCCCCATTTTATAGGTGGTGCAACTGAGGTTCTCAGAGATTAAGTGACTTTTCCAAGGTGAATTGCAGAGTTTAAGGCAAGTGTTTTCCCAATTTCTTCCATCTCTCCTTCTCATTCTCCCTTCCTTCATGATGGGCTACATCTTTCCTACTTCTAATAGCTGCACCTCTTTTTACTATTGTACTCAGCTTCAGTACCTTTATGTACCAATTGGCTTTGCTCTCCACCAGATATCACTTAGCTCCCAGCAGGGTGTGGGCTGGTAAAAATTTAAGGAGAAAGCTAATAATGATTCTAGGGAACTATCCTTTCAAAGAAGTATTTTCCTTCAAAAATGTACAAATAATCAAAACCCTAAAGAATGATGTCTTAACAGTTTTTCAGGAAAACCAAGGGACCGGTAGTGACAGAGATGTTTGAGAAATATGAAGTCTCCCTTCATAAATAGAAACTGCTCATAAATTCTACAGGTGATTACAATAAAATCCTGATAAATTTTATTAGTGTCATTCTTATTTTAAAAAGAACTGACCGAATGGATGAATTGTATAAATAAAACAAGCATCCCTCTCGAAAAAAAGACACCCACTTACCAAAAGTCCTCAAATCTTCATAATCTGATATACAAATCCAGCAGAAGACATTTATTAAAAAGAAATCGTTTTTTTACTTGCATAGCTAGCAATAAGGAGCTTAAAGATATCTCCTGATTATTTATTAAAAACACATTATTTTAAGATATTTACTTGGAAAAGTATTGCTCACAATATTGATTTGTGATATTGAATAACATTTTCCAAGACATAGAGAATTAATTTCGTCTTAAAATGTAGCTAGTTATTGGGTTTACTAATAATAAATCCTGGTTATGAAAAGGCCTTGGGGTTCAAGTCCAGTCTTCACATATTCTAACTGTGGAACTTCAGATAGTGATTGAACCTCTCTGTGCTTCAGTTTTCTCATGTGTAAAGCATGAGTAATAATGGCAGCTACCATATCCAGGTTTTCAATTTTATCTATGTCACAATATTTAGTGAGCACCTACTATGTGGCAAAACTAGTGATATATGGGCAATACCCTGCCAATGAAATTTGTAGTCTATTACCTGAGAGTTAATGACATTAAGTATGTAAATTGATTAGCATGGATCATGACACCTAGTCAGTGCTCCATGATGGTTAGCAGTTGGTATCATAAATTCATTCAGGAAATGTTCACTGAATGCCTTGCAGAGGCAATGCAGGTTGAAACATATAATGTTCACTGATTGGCATATAGATATATAAATTTGATTCAACTAAATATTCTAACAGGAGAGGGGACACCCCCAAAAAAGAAATCAAGTAAATAATCAGTAGTCTAAAGGGAATGTTAGGGAAAACAATAGATACAAATGTTAAAAAAAAAATTACCCACTGGAAGGGGAGTATGAATGACCCTATGAAAATCCAAAGGTGATAAGAAAAATGGTCTCATATTCATGCTTTTTGTAACACAAAATACATAGGAAAAAATACAGAAAAGACTCCTACTTAGATACATGTAATGAGAAAAGAGTATTTGATGGGTCTGGTTATTAAAGTGAGCTCATAAAGGGCAAAAGATCCCAGCACACTAGAAATGAGATAGCCAAAACTGAATTAAAAAAAAAATGCAGTGGATTCCCAAAACAATAATAAAAGACTCTTAAATTCTGCGAAAGGAGAATTGAGGAAGTACTTGGCTTTCGTTGTACCAAACATAGATAAAAAGAGAACTAGTGTAAAGGAATTCTTTGCTCTGCTTTTGCTGGGTAATATTCCTACACCTGGGCTTTCTTAAGCAATAAACACATTGGCAGTAATAGATGAGGAAATGGCAAGTTCTCAGGATATTCCAGATCTAATCAACAGTCTAGATCCTAAATCACCAAGACCAGTTGGCCATCACCCAAATATGCTAAAGAGCCTTAGTGTGTTAAGTGACAGCTTTTTAGGGCATTAACTGGTGGAATTGGGGGCTCTTGTTAGGGGCAGGGCCTCAGGCAGTTTCCTACATCCATCAAATCAGATCCATGTTCTATTGATCCTTGTCCTATCTGGAATTAAGTATTAAAAACAACCACAGGTTACAATAAATGCAACTTGTTTAGCAGAAAAAGAATAATTTTTAGAATTAAAGGAGAAAATATGTTTGTGCTAATGTGTTGCAGAAAATATAGTATTTGTAACTTTCAGAAAGCCTGACCAGGTTTCAAATCCCAGTTCTCTCCCTATTCATGACCTATTATTTGACCAAGAAACAAAGAGTGGAGATGAAAGGACAGATCGGCACTTTTGGGAAGTAGTTTGGGGATGGCTTTATGAAACGTTTGCACATGTTTACAGATGGTATGCAGTTGCTGTGACTAAGTAAAAACCAAACTGATAATCCTGACCTAAAGGAATAACTTAAAAGACAACATAAATGAAAAGAAAAATAATAGAAGATTGAAGTCAAAATGGAAGGTTGACCATAAGTATACTTGGAAAAAGCAATCCCAAGTGCATTTGTAGGATATGGTTATACATTCCACTATTGGGAGTTAACATAATTGGACAACATTCTCTCAGCTCTCTGAAAAAATAGTAAGTCGACCAAGTTGAAGTTAATATTAAAAAAGGGTAGGCTGTGGAACTCTATATGAGTGTGATACCATTTTGAAAAATGGGTGCTTGTGTAAGTTTGTACAAATCTCTCTATTTACCTGTTCATCTCTGTATATGGAAAGAAATGCATCAACGACTTAGCGGCAACCATCTCTGGGTATTACAGGATTGTGAACAATTTTATTGTTTTCTTTTACTTAAGTGTTTACCAAATTTTCTACAATGAACATATATTGCTCTTATAAGGAAAGGTGTTATGAAAATAAGTTGTAGTATTATAACCTCAAATTTCATATAGTCTTACCGTAAGAAAGTTTCATTTCATTATCATTTCTATGTCTTCTGCAAATCTGTAGTTGAAACATTAACTGCCTTTCCCCTTGAATTTTCTATATATAAAAGGAAGCATATTTAAGTAGTTTCTTTGTTGTATTTGCTATTGGGAATGTAATGTGGCTGAAAATCAACGTTTGTGCTTTCCTTAGTTAGTGAAAACAGGGAAATCAATAGGGATTCCATTTTTTTTGCCATAACTATCAGGAAATAAAGAACCAAGTTAATGGAAGCATTGCTGAGTCCTCTAATCTG